TTCTTGGTGCTCATCAAGTAGGCGCAGTCCACGAGTTTCCGGCAATCTTATGTTCTACTTGAACCCAAATCGGACTGTTTTCGAGAAATACACTCATTTGCAAATCAGTTTGGTTTTCACGAGAGACAATTGGATCTCTCGTTTATGATATTCTACAACTGAATGTGCTGCACACAGGCCGCCTCATGATTCAGTTGGGATGATATTCGAGATATCGCAAAGTATTTTCATAAAGGAAGTGAGAAATTCAGTTGAGTCTCCCGTGAAATCCAAACTGATGGGCAAACGAGTGTGTTTGTCACAATCAGTCTAATATGGGTTCAAGTAGAACATAAGGTTGACGGAAACTCGGAGACTGTGCCTACCTGATGAATCCCAAGAAGGGCGAAACCGGTCGTGGGCTGTCGAAGAGTTTTCAGCAACCTTGCGAAAGTCGTATGAAGGTTGCTCACCAAGCCCTCACACAGGAAGACCATCTTCAGGAGGAGCCAAAACCCCACATTCTTGATGTTCCCTCCCCAGCCAGATTGCAATGCACTAAAACACACGTTCTTTACTAAATCCTGCTGTTGGTAGTCCTCAATTGCGTGCGTCCGGATGGTGTAGATATCACTCGGAACTAATGATCCAGCTGATGAACACTTTTCAGATCCACCATATTGACACCCTAACCCGGTCACGTGCGTGTGGGAGGACTGAACAACAGATTTACTGACTTTGGTTGAGGTTAAAACGAATTCAATCCCTTCCCAAGCACGGCAAAGTATAGTAAGTTATACTATGCTCCATTGTGGTATAGCATAGTGTAGTACACTATACTGCATAGTACATTATAGTGTAGTAAGTTACAGTACGTATTATAATGTAGTACAATATAGTGCATGATATAGAATGATATACAGTATAGTATATAATTGTACAGTATATACACTGTCTAATGCAGTATAGTGTAGTATAATTCATAGTGTGATTCAGTATAGTATAGCACAGCACGGAGCGGTATAGATTCGTAGTATGATGGTAAAAGGCAGTCAAGATGGTTGGTGAGATACTGCTTATCAGGCTGGTCAAACATTGACCATCATCATCATTGTCAGCTGTAATAACGGCGTACTCGTAGTACAGTGGTTATAGCTGCCAACTAAACTAAAATGATCAGCATAGAATGGTATTGCTATAACCCTCCAACAGGAGACACAAAAGTCTGTCTTCTGACGGGAAGTAGTGGATTTGTTAGAGGGATACATGCAGTGAGTTGTGCAAGAACTTCTGTCGACCATGAAAGCTCACGAATCGTGGTCATGAGAGTATCATCATCCTTACAAAAGGTGGTTTCAGTTCTCCTTACCCTAGAAACAATAACCAAGTGTCAACTGAAGCGTTTAATCGTCATCATGAGTGGTAGCAACACCAGATCAGAAAACTACGGAGTCACACACCATATCAGTTTGTTTTGTTGAGGCCTTATACTGAAAACAAGAGAATAGAGGAGAGGGGAACTTGGGCCTGACCCCACGAGCAAATCAGGTCCCCACACCTCCAGCACTCAGTCAGACAATCTGTATGGAGGCTGACAGCTTGGAAGCACTGATACCGGTGAGCCACCACATCGTTCAGTGTCTCCAACCGAACACACGGAGGGCCGTGTTGATCCCATCCTGGAAGGTGAACCAAGAGTAGGCAAAGTTTTCCCGTAGCATCCTCCCACCATGTCAGATAGTGTCCACCTCTAGGTTTCTGCTGCTCCGAGTCAGACAGGTACTCAGGTCTCTTCTCGACAGGCGGTGGTGCGCAAAACTTTAGGGTTGCCAGCCATTTACAAATATTAACGAGTGCTTCATACTGTGCTTCCTCCCCGAAAAAGGGACACCAAGTGAAAGTGGCCTCTCTTGCGAACGCTGCCTCTTCTTCGGAGGAATTTTGTACTAAACTGTCTGATGAGGCACAGTTTTCGGCCCCCTCTGAACTGTCAACCTCCTCATAACAGCAACTCGGTCTTGTGTTTGGCCTGATAACCATCATTAGAGAAACCTGCACAATGTAGTAAATGTACGTGGTAGTTACCTCGTGGATAAGTTCTAATTCGTCGGATATGCTTGACTAGGTTGATTGCCTTGTCCTTTATCGGGTGAAAGTTAATGATGCCCTCAAATGTAACAGTTAGCTGAGAGTCGTTTGGAGATCTCGCTGCCACCAGATCACGTGACAGGCTAACATCCAGTCGTGTGGGCTGGTAAGTCAACTGCCCTAGAGTGCTGCTTGACTTTTCAATAAGCCTCAACGGCCAGACAGTCTGAGTAGCAAACAACGGATTTCAGACTTACCATCTCACCTGAGTTCACAACGTGCAAAAACAAGATCTTTCACTTTAGCTTTCAAAGGGCACTTGACCGAATCCCAGCTCAATCTCTCGTTCATGACGGTTCAATTCCACTGAATGTGCTGCCCGCCTCATGTTCTAGTTGGTACGACATTTGAGATATCTGAAGGAAAGGCGACAAGTTTGCAGCAACCTGTCAGTCGTTTCCTTCCTGTCTAGCTTCTTCCGGTGCCTTGCTACCCAAAGGAAGACGAAGGTTTGGATACTGCCAGGGTTGCCCAAGCCTAGACGGGGGAAGTCGGGAGGCAGAGTTCGGGTTCGAACCACGGACCTTGCGGTCAGTGAATTCGCGCTCTAACCATCTCTCCCCCGTTTCCTTCCTGAAAACATTCCACCGTTTCTTTCAGATCAACAGAATAGCATTTTTCAGCTGACTTTTCGTCCTGTCAGTGAGTCCGAGAAGAAGACGAGAGGCACTGTATAAAAATCTCCTCCGTATTGGGAATCATCAACAGTGCGCATCTCACGAAAGTTAGTGTTTCGAACCCACGACCTCCCCCGCTGAACACATAATCGTTCGGCCACGAGCGGCGGTGTGATTATCTCGCGCTAAGCTATTTTCCTGAAAGTCGTACTGCTCATCAACCTGAATAAGGATGGAGCAGCTGTTCAGTGCTTCTCGTCTTTTCAACATAGTTTGGCTTCACAGTTTAAAATTGCCAAATCGTCTCCCATTACTACTATCGGAGTAGTAGCAGAACAAAGTTATGGATTTCAAATCATTCGACTATTTCCTCCAAGCTATCGTTGCCCTTTTAATGCTGGTTGGGTGCAAGCGTGGACGAAGAACCGAACGCTTCACATCAGTGTGTGTAGTTGTAAGAATCAGGGATCGCTTTAATGTTGGCACATATCAGACTGAGTGACCAAACCAAGCAAACGATTTCGATCTTGAATCAATAACGTACCGTAAAGTTTTCAATGGTGTCCCATTCATCTTCTCCAACCTTGCAACGAAGTAGAAAAACACTTCTGGTGTCCAGCAACGGCGGACGGTTCGTCTTCCTGGACTCCAGAAACGCGGAGATGGGAGAGAATGGCTGTTTTGTCTTGGGATTGGCTTTGGCCACACGTATTGATGATGACGGGGTTTCCGTGTGTGGAGGTGCGGCTGAGGGAAAGGTCAATCTGTGGTAATTTACCGAAAGTTCTCGTTGGGCAATTTCTTACCATTACGGTAACGATTTGAACATTACCTGACCAAGGTGACTGGTAACAGAACTGGGGTTAGAACAGTTAGGCTTCTACGGATACAAAAGCGTTATCTTTGTTCCGTAATTGCTACTGAGTTCATGACTGATCATGCTGGCAGTCAAAAATCGGCCTCTTGTGAGCAACTTTCGGTCTTCGACAAATACACTCATTTGCAAACCAATTCGGTTTTCAAGAGAGACTCAACTGAATCTCTCGTTTATGATATTCTACA